AGGGGGGGGGCTGGAAAGAGGGTGGGGGGGTAGAGGTTCACTTCCTTGGGTAAATTGTATGAGATTCTAAAAAAAAAAAAAAAAAAAAAAAAAAAAAGGAGAGGAAGGGGAGAGGGGGAGGGGGCTGGAAGGAGGGTGGGGGGGTAGAGGTTCACTTCCTTGGGTAAATTGTATGAGATTCACTTAAGACCAATAAGATGTTCCATTATTTGCGCAGAGCATGTGCGAAAACGACTTTTGAAATATTTAAATCTTTCGGCTTCGGCCGACAGTCACGTTAAGCTTTCGGTTTCGGCTCCGGTTTCGGCCGAAAGTCATTTTTCAACTTTTGGCCTCGTTTCGGTTTTGGCCACAATCAGAAAATCACTTTCGATCGATGTCTAGCCTCCATGCTACAATGTAGCCTGAAAAGTAGTGACTGTAATCAATAAGACTAATTTTTCCCCCCCCCCCCCCCGCTTGCCCGCCCCTAATATACGATACCAAAAAAAAAAATACTTTATTTTGCACCAACGGCAGATTTCGTGGCCTTAATTAGACGAACAAGAGGGGGTCTTTGGGGAATTGTCATTTGGCATTTTATTAATTGTTTGAAACACATTCGTCAAACTCATGGCCCGCAGGCCACATCCGGCCCGCCGTACAATTATATCAGGCCCGCGAGGTCTTCACCGGTGTACAATTACATCCGCCTAAACGCTATGGTGATTCCAAATGCACACTTTGCTGAAAAGCTTTGCTTACTTCGCGCCAAGTTCGCAAGGTGTTTTAGTGACTTTGAAGCACAGGAATGTAATTTCGAGCTGTTTCGTAACCCATTTGTCATAGACGTGGGAAAATGCACCTGTAATAGAGATAATAGAACTGCAGTGTAATAGGACATAAACGGCAAAGTAGGACACAGTTGGGCCTGCACAGTCCACTCGTTTCAGTCCTGAAGAGATGTCCCAGCTTCGTCTACATGCGGCTCGAATGTTGGGTAGCACATAGATGTGTGATCAGCTCTTTTCTGTGATGAAGATTAACAAAACATCACACAGGAGTCGTCTCACTGATGAACACTTGCAGTCCATCATGAGAATCTCAATGACACAGAACGTTACTCCCAACATAAACGAACTTACTTGTTTTTTGTAACCAAGAAAATGTGCCAAACATCCAGCTCGGACAAACTGGCATAACAACGAAAATGCGCATGTCAATGATTTTTAATTATTAAATTTTTTTCACATTTCATTGACATAAATGTTTTTTTTTGTTTTTTTTTTAATATTAATTTTCCGCTCAGTGGATGTTTATCCTGTTCGGCCCGCAATCTTACACGTGATTTGAGTCTTGGCCCGCCGATCGATTGAGTTCGACAGCCCTCTTCTTGAAGATAACATGGCCTGCTAGAAAACTCGTTGTTGGAGCTCTGGAAACTTTTTAAAATTGCCTCAAGGAATAGACTTGAAGCAGAGTCGACTGAAGCAGAGTTTTTTAATTTAATTTTTAAACATTGTATTATATATACATATATATATATTTATTTGTGGGGTGGGGGTTTGGAACGGGCAGAACACCTGGTCATCGACTAAATAATGACACAGACTTGCGGGGGTGGGGGAGATTTTGATGTCTTGTCTTATTTACAACAACAAAAAAACAGGGGTTTGCCATTGTTTAGCACCCCCCCACCTCTTTTTTTTCCCCCAACCCCCTTTAGTATATCCTTTCTTTTTTTATACCACACAACGTTCTCCTATAGCAACCTCTTGCTTGCTGCCGTGTCCGGAAGTGACGTGTCTATACTAACAAACACATGTCATCAGAGTTAGATGACCTGCTAGGAGTCACGCATCGCTGAGTTTGTCCGCTAACCATAGAGCTGCGTGTCACCCTCTGCTCACTCGTCTGGACCACTTTCCTGTCTCCCCCGATACCTGCCACCGTGCTGAGGCGACCGAGGAGACAGGTCAGAGGTTACAGAACATGTTTTGGGAGTGGGGGAGGGGTGTTTACGGTAAAAATTGAACCCAAGCCCCAATTGATACAAATATTAACACAGCACATGTGTTTAAATTTACTGCAGATGTGTTTTTGAAAATAGTGTTCACCACCTCCCCCCACCCTTTTCCTAACCCCAATATGGTTTGGATATTTTTTTTAAACCAGAGACCCGTTCATGTCACAGAGTTGCAAAGGACCAACGGTTGTAGCAGAGTCCATCAGGTTGGTCTGATGGGAGCTGGATGTGTGTCCCTTACAGTACAGCGTGATCCTAAAGAGTTGTGTTGCCAAACTTCGGGAGTTTTGAGATCGTGTGGTCCTGACGGGGGTCGCTGGGAGCAGCTGAAGGTAAGGGGCTTGGGGTTTTGTCGTGTCAAGGTGGACCAGACAAGTTACTCTAAGCTGCTAGAAGATTGACTCCAGCGACACGAAGATAAAGGCTGATCTATTCTCTCGACAAACATTGATTTGTAAGTTTTGGGGGGAATTTTTTTACATGCATGTTTACGATTTCACCTCCTCTAGCATGAACCAATACCCAAAACATTAACAACTTTGTAGGTAGAATTATTATATTATTATTGATGTGGTCTCGGATAGCGTAGTACCCCAGCCTATGGCTAGTCTCACTTGTATAGCGTGGTACCCCAGCCTATGGCTATAGAGTCTCACTTGTATAGCGTAGTACCCCAGCCTATGGCTAGTCTCATTTGTATAGCGCAGTACCCCGGCCTATGGCTAGTCTCACTTGTATAGCGTAGTACCCCAGCCTATGGCTAGTCTCACTTGTATAGCGTAGTACCCCGGCCTATGGCTAGTCTCACTTGTATAGCGTAGTACCCCGGCCTATGGCTAGTCTCACTTGTATAGCGTAGTACCCCAGCCTATGGCTAGTCTCACTTGTATAGCGTAGTACCCCGGCCTATGGCTAGTCTCACTTGTATAGCGTAGTACCCCGGCCTATGGCTAGTCTCACTTGTATAGCGTAGTACCCCGGCCTATGGCTAGTCTCACTTGTATAGCGTAGTACCCCGGCCTATGGCTAGTCTCACTTGTNCCCCCCCCCCCCGGTCTAGCCATATAATATACTAGTACACAATTTTCGACAACATCACCCTTCCCCCCCCCACCCCCATGGCACACTGATAGATATTAATACCACAAGGAATATGATAGTAATACCACCAGGACTATAATAGTAATAACACCAGGACTATGATAGTAATACCACCAGGACTATAATAGTAATACCACCAGGACTATGATAGTAATACCACAAGGACTATAATAGTAATACCACCAGGACTATGATAGTAATACCACAAGAACTATAATAGTAATACCACCAGCACTATGATAGTAATACCACCAGGACTATGATAATATACCAAGACTATGATAGTGATACCTCCAGTAATATGATAGTAATGCCACCAGGACTATGATTATACACCAGGACTATGATAGTAATTGAGGAACCAGCAAAAGGTCATAGCTTACAAATATCCCCTGAGCAGTGGCGTAGCTAAGGTTATTAACCACCCGGGGCGGGTCGATATTTTTTCCGCCTCTTTAAGCAAAAAAAAAAACTCTACAGTTGGCCGAAAATTCTCCCCCCCCCCTTTTTATATTTACAAAAGGAACATGCCGCCCGGGGCTGACTGCCCCCCCCCCCACTCCTCACCTCCTTCCCACAACACTGCCACTGAACCTAAGGGTTGAATCACATTCTGGCCCTGTAGCATTCCGAAAAGTTAGAATTAAAGAAAGTGATTATAGAGATAGTATTGGTCGCGGCCTTCACCTTGGCTATGTAATCAGGGATTGGATTACTTTATACCGAGGAATTGAAGGAAAGATATTATTCAGATGGAAAGTATACTTTTTAGAAATAAAAAAAGTATATTTTAGGGGCTTATTCTAAGTAGTTCGACTCAACTTACTGGGATCGACTACTTCACTTACTGGGGTCGACTACTCAACTTACTGGGGTCGACTACTCAACTTACTGGGGTCGACTACTCAACTTACTGGGGTCGACTACTCAACTTACTGGGATCGACTACTTCACTTACTGGGGTCGACTACTCAACTTACTGGGATCGACTACTTCACTTACTGGGGTCGACTACTCAACTTATTGGGATCGACTACTTCACTTACTGGGGTCGACTACTCAACTTACTGAAATCAAGTTGTGAATCACAAACAGGAATTAGGAACTTCTGGGAAGTGGACAAAGTGGATGGTGTCCAAGGGCAGACTGCACAGTTTGACACAAAGCTGGACGCACACCGTAGAGAAATCCAACAACTCTGTTTTGTTATGTAATTTAAAAAGTATCCATCACGGGGCGCTTTGCGTGTCAGACTCTGGCACCCCGAAATGGGCGCCACCGGTTGGCTAGGTCACTGTCGGTGGTCAGAAAATGAGTGAATGGAGGTAATGCCCTTTTGATAGACCTATAGTTTGTGCTGCTTGTAAAAACGTTTATGGAATACTTGATAGCACTATAGTGGGAAGCGGGGTGGGCGATCCAGGGTGGGCGATCGAGGGTGGGCGATCTAGGGTGGGCGATGTAGGGTGGGCGATCCAGGGTGGGCGATCTAGGGTGGGCGATCCAGGGTGGGCGATCGAGGGTGGGCGATCGAGGGTGGGCGATCTAGGGTGGGCGATGTAGGATGGGCGATCCAGGGTGGGCGATCTAGGGTGGGCGATCCAGGAAGGGTGATCTACCCCGATTGGCACTATTTTCTGTATGTTAAGAAACGATATTTTAAGCCAATCTCTGATGGGTTTTGGAGAGGCGGTGACAAAAACTCCGCCCACCCAGGGCGACACCAAGCTACGCCACTGCTCAATAGAGGCAGCTTGCCTCCCCTCCCACCCCCACTCCCCCACCCCCCCTCCACCCCCGCTCACGCTCAAAAACATAGACGGGTAATGAATTGGTGTTGACTTTGAATTATTTTATTTTGTTCATTCACTCCCCGTTAAATTTCCAGTGATCACGCGATGGACGCTGGCAATGGAGTGGTCACTAGACTTCAGAACAAACGAGCACGTGACATGGCGAGCGGCCCCAACGACCAAGGCAAGCGCAGCTCGAAAGACTTGATGAGCATACAAGATGGTGAGAATGTGGACGCCGGCACGAGCGTGACCTACAGCAGGAGGTCGTATCCACTGGAGCATGAAAGTGAGCCGTGGTCAAAGCATGAGGAGAAGACGTCCAAGACGGAAAAATCCACAAAGTCGGTGAAGGTGAGAAGAGGTGGCAACGGGTGTGTCGTGATTGAAGGTAGCTCGTGTGTCGTAATAGAAGGCAGCTCGGACGTCGTAATAGAAGGTAGCTCAGATGTCGTAATAGAAGGTAGCTCGTTTGTCGTAATAGAAGGTGGCTCGTGTGTTATAACAGAAGGTAGCTGTTGTGTCGTAACAGAACGTGGCTGGTGTGTGGTAAAAAAGAAGGTAGCTGGTGTGTCGTTGCAGATGGTAGCTTGGTGTGTCGTTACAGAAGGTAGCTTGGTGTGTCGTAACAGAAAGTAGCTGGTGTGTCGCAACAGAAGGTAGCTCGTGTGTCGTAATAGAAGGCAGCTCGGACGTCGTAATAGAAGGTAGCTCAGATGTCGTAATAGAAGGTAGCTCGTTTGTCGTAATAGAAGGTGGCCTGTGTGTTGTAACAGAAAGTAGCTGGTGTGTCGTAACAGAAGGTGGCTTGTGTGTCGTAACAGAAGGTAGCTGGTGTGTCGTAACAGAAAGTAGCTGGTGTGTCGTAACAGAATGTAGCTCGTGTGTTGTAATAGAAGGTACCTTGGATGTCGTAATAGAAGGTAGCTGGTGTGTCGTGACAGAAGGTACTTTATGTGTAGGGGTGGCATTTTGGGCCTACTGCCGAGTTGTTTTTTCTTGGAAGATCTCGGGCTACACATTGTTTTTATTTAATACAAATCAAGATTTTGCCCTTTGCTCACTCTAACACCACTCTCTTTGCTCACTCTAACACCACGCTCTTTGCTCACTCTAACACCATGCTCTTTGCTCCCTCTAACACCACGCTCTTTGCTCACTCTAACACCATGCTCTTTGCTCACTCTAACACCACGCTCTTTGCTCACTCTAACACCACGCCCTTTGCTCACTCTAACACCACGCTCTTTGCTCACTCTAACACCACGCTCTTTGCTCACTCTAACACCACGCCCTTTGCTCACTCTAACACCACGCTCTTTGCTCACTCTAACACCACGCTCTTTGCTCACTCTAACACCACGCTCTTTGCTCACTCTAACACCACGCTCTTTGCTCACTCTAACACCACGCTCTTTGCTCACTCTAACACCACGCCCTTTGCTCACTCTAACACCACGCCCTTTGCTCACTCTAACACCACGCTCTTTGCTCACTCTAACACCACGCCCTTTGCTCACTCTAACACCACGCCCTTTGCTCACTCTAACACCACGCCCTTTGCTCACTTTAACACCACGCTCTTTGCTCACTCTACAAACACGACCTTTGCTCACTCTAACACCAAGCACTTTGCCACCCTCACACCTCACTCTTTGCCACCCTCACACCACGCCCTTTGCTCACTCTAACATCACGCTCTTTGCTCACTCTAACACCACGCTCTTTGCTCACTCTAACACCACGCCCTTTGCTCACTCTAACACCACGCTCATTGCTCACTTTAACACCACGCTCTTTGCTCACTCTACAAACACGACCTTTGCTCACTCTAACACCAAGCTCTTTGCCACCCTCACACCTCACTCTTTGCCACCCTCACACCACGCCCTTTGCCACCCTTACACCACGCAATCTAATCTTATCTTTTAAATGTTTTTTTTTTGTGTGTTTCGTTTTGACCAGAAAGGAACATTAACTGACAGGGGCCAAAACTCTGGGCAATGTCCTCCTGTGGTTGAAACTGTCCAGCCCGCGAAACCAAAGATCAAAGACACACTGTTTACCTCATTCAAGATAATAGGTAGGCCTAGCCACACTGTTTTCTACATTCATCATAATAGGTAGGCCTAGACACACTGTTTACTACATTCAAGATAATAGGTAGGCCTAGCCACACTGTTTACCTCATTCAAGATAATAGGTACACAACACTCCTCCTACAAACAGTCATGTAACTAACACTCCTCCTACAAACACTCCTCCTACAAACAGTCATGTAACTAACACTCCTCCTACAAACACTCCTCCTACAAACAGTCATGTAACTAACACTCCTCCTACAAACACTCCTCCTACAAACAACTAACACTCCTCCTACAAACACTCCTCCTACAAACAGTCATGTAACTAACACTCCTCCTACAAACACTCCTCCTACAAACAGTCATGTAACTAACACTCCTCCTACAAACACTCCTCCTACAAACACTCCTCCTACTAACAGTCATGTAACTAACACTCCTCCTACAAATACTCCTCCTACAAACAGTCATGTAACTAACACTCCTCCTACAAACACTCATATAACAAATACTCCTCCTACAAACACTCCTCCTACAAACACTCCTCCTACAAACACTCCTCCTACAAACACTCCTCCTACAAACACTCCTCCTACAAACAGTCATGTAACTAACACTCCTCCTACAAACACTCCTCCTACAAACACTCCTCCTACAAACACTCCTCCTACAAACAGTCATGTAACTAACACTCCTCCTACAAATACTCCTCCTACAAACAGTCATGTAACTAACACTCCTCCTACAAACACTCATATAACAAATACTCCTCCTACAAACACTCCTCCTACAAACACTCCTCCTACAAACACTCCTCCTACAAACACTCCTCCTACAAACTCTCCTCCTACAAATACTCTGCCTACAAACATTCTTCGTACAAAAACTCCTCCTACAAACAGTCATGTAATTAACACTCCTTCTACCAACACTCCTCCTACAAAAACTCCTCCAACAAACAGTCATGTAACTAACACTCTGCCTACACACACTCCTCTTACAAACACTCCGCCTACACACACTCCTCTTACAAGCACTCCGCCTACAAACACTCCTCCTACACATTAATTCTAAGAACCAGGTTCTACAAACACTGTATTAAAATATAATATCACATCATATGTCAGTCAACTGTACGGGACAGTTCGACCAAATAGTAATTACCACCATTTTCTCTCCCCATCGTTTAGTTGAAGTGCCAACCGGTTATGGAAAATACCTACCTCTTGACGACGATGAAGCCCATACATGTAAGATGCTTTTCTTATGTTGTGTTTTGTACATACTCGGTGGAATTCCGTGTGGTCAATGGCTAATATTAACGAGGTGGCATTCCGTGTGGTTTGTTGTCAGTGCCGGATTTACCTGTAAGCTAAAGACGCTAAAACTTAGAGGCTAATAAAGTTCAATACTCTAAGAGGTCGAGATTCAATCTCTTTGGACCTCTGATACGATTTATGCGGCGCGCCTAATCTGCTGGGCGCTACGGTAAAGGAGCGCATTTAGGCAGACCTCCGGATTCCTACGGTTGGCCCCCGTTCCACTACTCGGACACGTGACCACCAAGTGGGCTACTGCCTCCTCTTTTAGTCCGCATAACCGGCACAAAGGTTCCCTTCTGTTGTCAAGTCGATGGAGATAGCTGCGCGTCGCGCAGTGTCCAGTCCTCATTTGAGTGATAAGGCTTTTTTCTCCACAACTAAGTTCCCACCAGGGGTCGCTCTTGCTCGGACGCTGCATTTTCTGGTAAAGCTGACGTCCAGTGGCCGCCGTGTTCCACCTTCTGTGCCATTTGTCCTTGAAATGGTCTTTGATCCAAGCCGTGACTCCCAGCTGAGTCAATGGTTTGTCTGGTTGAGGTTGGGCCGCGCCTTCTTTGGCTAGGAAGTCCGCCCTGTCAGGAAGCGACTCCTCCCAGTGCGAAGCGATGAACTGTAGGACTACCTTAGAGCCTTTCGCATGGATATTGCCTACTGTCTCCAAAATAGCTGTGACCATTTTTTATCCCACCGAGCTCCCCCCCCCCTCATGTGTTCGAGAGCTGAACAAGAGTCGGTGAAGACCACTACGTCCGGAAGGGTTTTCTTTTCGCTAGCCGTTGGTGGACACTTTTGAGAGCTACCAGTATCGCCTCAAATTCCGCATCGAGGCTCGTTGCATTGCTTCCGCTTGGGCCAGATAGCTCCTCGGGTGGGGCTATCTCTGCGGGATACTGGATAAGAGCACCGTAGCCACTACGCTTTTCCCTCGCAAAGCACGAGCCGTCCGTGAAGACTTTAACCAGACTGTCTGGGTAGGCGTTAATCGTGTTACGTACAGCCTCTGATGGTTCTGGTTGAGGACTGTTTTTGTTGGCATTAGTGGTGATCATGTCTAGTCGAATGTCTGGTCGGGATAGGCTTTTGTGAGGTCCCCGCGCGAGAATCACTTTCACTTTCTCCCTGTTTCCGGGTAAATTTACGTCTTTTTCGATACTGTGCACCGTGTCCATGAAGGATGGTCTCTTCAATCTGGACTTTTTTACCCAATTTTCTTGCAGTTGGAGACAGGGTTCTTCTCTTTCCATGCGTCGGTAACGTTCTACTGTCGTAAGGACCGCCTTTTCCCACCTGACCTCGAGCGGTTCAACATTTGACATGACTTCCACTGCCGCCGTGGGTGTGGTTCGTATTGCCCCGCATACAAACCTTAGAGCACGGTTTTGGATGCGCTCCAGTTCCTCCAGAGCCGTGCGACTCGCGAAGGTTTGGACAGGCAAACTGTAGTCCATGGCCCCCCTCACACTACTGAGATAGAGCGATCTCAGCAGTCTTGCGTCTGCGCCCCATCTGGTGCAGGCCAAATTTTTCACCAAGAACCAGTTTTTGTGAAGCTTTAACGCACAGTTCGTGTACATGGTTGTGAAGTCGGAGTTTCTGTTCCAATTTCACGCCCAAATAAATTGGTGTCCTGTCCCATACCAGATCTGTTCCATTTATGGAGAGCTTTACATCGACCTTTCTTCCTTTCGTGAACTTAGAGTAAACAGTCTTCTCGGTGTTCACAACCATTTTCCACTTTCTCGCATAAGCTTCGATGCTATGCAGATCATTTTGCAGCTGGTTCTGCAGATGGTTGATGTCCTCACCAGAGGTCCAAATTACTAAGTCATCCGCGATCATCGCGTTATCGGAAACTAAGCCCTCTTGCAAGTTGTATACGTACGCCAGGAACAGGGCGCAGCTGAAGGCGGATCCCTGGGGAGTCCGTCCTCCAGAGCAAGCCGTCTCGACAAACTATTACCAACTCGCAGTCCTGTTCCGGAGAAAGTCCGTCACCCACGCGGACATTTTGCCGGAAATCCCCAGTTTCTGGAACTTATACATGAGGCCTGTGCGCCGCTCGCGGTCGTACGCTTGCTTGAGGTCAAAGAAAACAGCAACCGTGTGATTTTTCTTTTGAAGCTCATTGGTCATGGACTGAACAAGACGGATTACCTGATCCATGGGTTGGCGACCCTTACAGAAGCCACCTTGCGTCGGTGGTAGGCACTTATTACTCTTCAAGAACCAGTAGAGTCGCCCATTTACCATTCGCTTGGCCAATTTTCCCACACAAAACGTTAAACGATATCGGCCTAAAGCTACTCGGTAAATGGTCTGGTTTACCTTCCTTTGGTACGGGAACCACTATGGCTTGCTTCCACAGTATCGGTAAGATACCTGTAGTCCAAGTTCGATTTATGAGAGCCAGCAAAAGTTATCTCCCCTGTTTACCCAGATGGGTTAACATTTCATTGTGAACTTTATCGGGGCCTGGTGCTTTTGCCGCCAAGCACTTATCAAGCGCTTTACGCAATTCCTCCATTGTGAAGGGGGTTATGAAAATCTCAGGGTGTGGTCCAATACGTTGGATACGAGCTTCCCTTTCCCTGAGACGGTGGACCTCTCGGTGCTCTTCGGTCTCTCTTGCCTTCTTGTTGACTTTGGCGAAGTGAGCATTGAGCACTCGTGCCCTTTTTGCGTCGCTTGCCTCGACGCCTTTGTCTGTTAGTAGCGGCTGCGGATTTTTTGCCTTTCCCGCGCCAGAGAGACTTCAGAGCAGATTCCACACTTTCCGGCCGTCCTGGAGATCGAGCTTTTCACATGCACTTACCCACTTTGATTTTTTCGCCTTTTGGACAGCTGCCCAGACTTCAGCCGTAAGTTTATTGTAACCAGCACGAGCAGCCGGTGTTTTCTTTCTCGCGGCTTCTTTCCGAGCTTTTGCGCTTCGCTTCACCAGTTTTCCAAACTCTTTGTTCCAAAAAGGCTTGTACGGCCGCTTCCCGTTCGTTCTCAAGATCGTCTTACGGGCAATCTCCAGGATTGCGCCATTAAATTTCTCGAAAGCAACATCTAAGTCTGAGTCGGCCACGTCGACTGCTATTAGTCCGAGCTTGGTCTCGCACTGACTTTCGAAATTTCCCCAGCTGGCTTTCCGGAAGAGCCAGTGGCGTTTATCGCACTTGGTTTTGGCCTGACCTAAGTCAATCTCAAGTAAAAGGTAAAGATGGTCACTCCAGATTTCTTCCAGGACTTTTAGATTCTGATGTCCCGCGAGATCAGCGGACACGAGCGTCAGATCTGGCCGTGATTCCGTTCAGTGGCCGTAGTGAAGAAGAGTGGGCGCACTCTTTTCGTCCTGAATTCTGATAAGATTGGTCTCAAGACAGACCTCTTCCACGTGCTTACTCGAGACGTTCCTCTCGAGCTAACCCCACTTGGGGGATTTGGCATTAAAGTCTCCTGCAATAATAGTCCTTGTAAAGATCGTCTCCCCGTGGGTGGGGATCGTGATCGCATTGCTGCGAGACTTATAAATGTTCGTCACAGCGAACGTCTTCCCACATTTGGTGACTTTTACCGACAACGTGTCAGTATTCAGATACCGTTTGGACTCAATGACCTCCACCGCAAGGTCATTTCTAACCGCTATGGTAATGTCTTGGCAGCGACCACACTTACAGTGTTAGAGTGAGTAACCAGTAATTTGAAACGGCTTGCCGTGAAGCAACGTCTATTTGAAGAGCCCTACGTCTACGTTACGTTCGTGGAGTAATTTGGTTACTTCGTGTGATTTTTGCCTGATATCACACACATTCAACTGCAGAACAACCAGGGAATGTTTTGGGTGTTCCGTCCCACCCCTTCGGTCTCGAACAGTAACTTGTTGGCCTCGCGCGCGCCTGTCAAGCGTCACATGCGCGAGAGGGGACGCCTTCCCCATGGGGACATCCATGGGGAGGGGATGCAGTCCACGCACCACATCTGTAGCTCTTCTCGGTCCCACCCAGTCTCCCAGCAGTGGGTATCGAGGGCGTTTCGAGGAAGCCACAGTCTGCGGTGAAGGATCTTGTCCAAGCCCCGCCAGTCGAGCCTGCGTAAATGATTTAGACGTATCCATGAGTAATAGTGGTTTGGGCAGCAATCTTCCCCTCATTCAGGGAGGAGGTTTTTCGTCGCCTCCCCCCCCTTCCCTTGCCCAGTGAGGCTTTTGGTCAGGACGTTACGAGCAGTTTTCATCTTTGGCTTCGGTATTTAATTCCGTACTAGTCTTCCGCGCCGCGAAGAGGCAGATCACGTGCGACATCGCCGTGAGCTTTGGCGATGTGACTTTCCCAACTTAGAGCTAATCGGGAAAAGTCAAAGAAGCTGAGGGGCTCACATTCTGCCTTCTATATGTTTTATATTTTTATTTGACCAGCAGATGTAATTTAAAACTCCCGAGGGCCCCTGGACTTTGAATAGATTAGGGCCTCAGCTCTTCCAAATCCTGCACTGTTGGTGACTAAAATAAACGAGGTGGCATTCAACCATGTTCCTTCATTTTAGTTCCATGGGGTCATGGTCCTGATGCATACTTATATTTTCCTTCATTTAAGTTCCTTGGGGCCATGGTCCTGATGCATACTTCTATTTTCCTTCATTTTAGTTCCATGGACAAATGATCCAGACCCATCCACATATTTTCTGCGAAACCCCGTAATTATGGGTAATATGATTTATTCCATTATATTCACTAATATTGTGTTCAATATTAATTTGGTAGCATTACATAAGTTGTTTCTTTTATTTATTGCTAACTCGGAGGCTTTTCATTTATTTTAAATCTAATATTAATTAGGTAGCATTCTATTATTTTTTTAAATCTAATATTAATGAGGTGGCATAGCCTGTCAGTTTAGATTTTCATGCAGAGCCTCTATTTTAAGCAAAAATAAAAATTTCTCACAGATGTTTATTAACCTCTTGAATACACTTGTATTTGTCCACACTTGTATTTGTCCACACTTGTATTTGTCTACACTTGTATTTTTCTACACTTGTGTTTGTCCACACTTGTATTTGTCCACACTTGTATTTGCCCCCACTTGTATTTGCCCACACTTGTATTTGCTCACACTTGTATTTGTCCACACTTATATGTGTGTACACTTGTATTTGTCCAAACTTGTATTTGTCCACACTTGTATTTGTCCACACTTGTATTTGTCCACACTTGTATTTGTCCACACTTGTATGTGTCCCCACTTGTATGTGTCTACACTTGTATTTGTCAACACTTGTATAAGTTTAAAACTGTATTTGTCCACACTTGTATTTGTCCACAATTGTATTTGTCCACACTTTTATTTGTTCACACTTGTATTTGTCCACTTTTGTATGTGTCTACAATTAAATTTGTGCACACTTGCATATGAACAATCATTTAATTTTCCACATGTGTATTTGTCCACACGTGTATATGTCCATACTTGTATTTGTCCACACTTGTATTTTTACCCGCTTGTATATGTCCGAACTTTTACATTTATAGATGTGTATGTGTCCGCACGTGTATTTTCCAACACTTGTATTTGTCCCAACTTGTATTTGACCACACTTGTGTTTGTCTACACTTCTATTTGCCTACATTATATTTGTTCAAACTTGTCTTTTTCCGCACTTGTTTTTGTCCGCACTTTTAGTTGTCCATACTTTTAATTGTCTACACTTGTATTTGTCCCAACTTGTATTTGTCACAACTTGTATTTGTCCACACTTGTGGCTGTCTACACTTACACTTGTCAACATTTATATATTTCCGCACATGTATTTGTCCACACAAATTTTTGTCCACACAAATTTTTGTCCGCACAAATTTTTGTCCGCACAAATTTTTGTCCGCATTTGTATTTGTTCGCACTTGTATTTGTTTGCATATGTGTTTGTATACACTTACATTTGTTAAAACTTGTATTTCTCCGCACTTCTATTGGTTCGCACTTATATTTGTCCACACTTGTAATTGTCTACACTTGTATTTGTTCACAATTGTATTCTCCACATTAGTATTCGTCCACACTTGTATTTGTCCAGACCTAACTTTGTCCGCACTTGTGTTTGTCCACACTTGCATTTTTCCACACTTGTATTTGTCCACACTTGTATTTGTCCACACTTGTATTTGTCCACACATGTATATGTCCACACTTGTATTTGTCTACACTTGTATATGTCCACACTTGTATATTTCCGAACTTTTATATATCCACTTGTATATTTGTCCACTCTTGTATTTGTCAACTTTTTTATGTGTGTATACAATTAAAGTTGTCCACAATTGTGTATGTCCGAACATTTATATTTCCACATGTGTGATTGTCAAAATTTGTATGTGTCCACATTTGTATTTGTCGAAATTTATAATTGTCCGCACTTGTATTTCTATACAATTTTATTTGTCCACACTTGTATTTGTCCACTTTTGTATGTGTCTACACTTAAATGTGTCCACACTTTTATATAACCAAACTTTTATATTTCCACATGTGTATTTGTCCACACTTGTATTTGTCCATACTTGTATATGTCCGAGCTTTTATATGTTCACAGGTGTATTTGTCCGCAAGTATTTTTCCACACTTGTAATTGTCAACACTTGTATTAGTCCACACTTGTATTAGTCCACACTTGTTTTTGTCCTCACTTGTATTTGTCCTCACTTGTTTGTCCACACTTGTGTCCACACTTATATTTATCCACACTTGAATTTGTACACACTTTTATTTTTCCAGTGTTGTTTTTGTCCACACTTTTATTGGTCCAGTGTTGTATTTGTCCACACTTGTATTTGTCCACACTTGTATTTGTCCACACTTGTATTTGTCCACACTTGTATTTGTCCACACTTGTATATTCCACACTTGAATTTGCCCACTCTTGAATTTGTCTATACTTGTATTGGTCAACACTTGTATTTGTCCATATTTGTATATCTCCACACTTGTATTTGTCCAAACTTGTATTTGTCCATACTTGTATTGTCCACACTTGTATTTGTTTGCATTTGTATTTGTCCACACTTGTATTTTCCAAATTGTATGGGTCCGAACTTTTATTTTTCAACTTTTGAATTTGTCCTCACTTGTATTTTTCCGCATTTGTATTTGTCGACAATTGTATTTGTCCACAATTGTATTGGTCTGAACTTGTCTTTGTCCGCGCTTTTATTTGTCCGCACTTTTATTTGACCGAAATTTATTTTTGTCCGCAATTGTATTTGTACACACGTTTTTATCCACAATTGTATTTGTACACACTTGTATTTTTTAAAACTCGTATTTGTCCACACATGTATTTGTGCAATTGTATTTGTACACACTTGTATTTGTTTCACTTTGTATATTTCCACACTTGTATATGTCCACTCTTGTATTGTCCAGACTTGAATAATGACACACTGGTATATGACCTCACTTGTATTTGACCAAACTTGTATATTTCCATCCTTGCATATTCCATACTTGTATTTCTCCACACATGTATATGTCCACACTTGTAGATGACCACCTTTGTATATGTTTACATATGTTTTTTCCGCTGTTATTTTTGTCCACACTTGTATCTGTCCGCACTTGTATTTGTCCACACTTTTGTCCAAATTTGTATTTGTTCACACAAGTATTTGTCCACATTTGTATTTGTCCACAATTGTATTTGTTTACGGTTGTAATTTGCACATACTTGTATTTGTCTACTGTCATATTTGTCTGCACTTGGATTTATCCACACTTTTATTTTCTCTATTTGTATGTGTCCACACTTGTATTTGTCCACACTTTTATATGTCAAAAATTTCCACAGTCCTTTTTGTCCACATATGTACTTTTCCACACTTGTATATGCCCGAACCTTTACTTGTCCACACGTGTATTTGTCTGCTCTTGTATTTGTCTACACTTGTATTTGTCTTCACTAGTAGTTGTTCACACTTGTATTTGTCCATATTTGTATTTGTCCGAACTTTTATATTTACACATTTGAATTTTTCCGCACTTGTATTCGTCCACAGTTTTATTTTTTTCGCACCTGTATTTGTCCACACTTGTATTTGTCTACCCATGTAGTTGTCTACCCATGTAGTTGTCTACCCATGTTTATCATCCATAATGTTATTATTTTCCCGTTCTGTCGTAGTTCCTGAAGATTTCCTCCCGTATGACTACGATTATGTCCCCCGTGGCATAACTGATATTGACGCCAATCCCGACTCCATCAACACTTCAGTGTACTCGAAGCGGATCATGGCAAACCTGGTCGTAAGTCCACAAAACAAGATAACCCACCATTCCACAATTATTGCACTTAACAATATGCACACTTTTTTAGTGACACATTTTTGTATTTGAATTTGTTGCAATTGAAAGTGTGGGAGCATCGTTTCCCCACACGCTGTTCCCCACACACTGTTGCCCTGTTCCCCACACACTGTTGCATCGTTCCCCACACACTGTTGCATCGTTCCACACAATCTGTTACCCTGTTCCCAACACAATGTTGCCCTGTTCCCCACACACTGTTGCATCGTTCCCCACACATTGTTATATCGTTCCCCACACACTGTTGCCTTGTTCCCCACACACTGTTGCCCTGTTCCCTAAACACTGTTGCCTTGTTCCCCACACACTGTTGCCCTGTTCCCTAAACACTGTTGCCTTGTTCCCCACAAACTGTTGCCTGGTTCTCCACACACTGTTAATCTGTTCCCCACACACAGTTGCATCGTTTCCCACACTCTGTTACCCTGTTCCCAACACACTGTTGCCCTGTTCCCCACACACTGTTGCATCGATCCCCACACATTGTTGCATCGTTCCCCACACACTGTTGCCCTGTTCCCTACACACTGTTGCCATGTTCCCCACACACTGTTGCATCGTTCCCCACACACTGTTGCATCGTTCCCCACACACTGTTGCCCTCGACCACACATTGCCTCACACGGCCACACACAGTCACACGTGACCACACACTCCCACACTCGGCCACACACAGCCACACCATATATAATCTTGGAAATTCATCGATCACAATTTTAGCTACTTTTCACAATACATGATAATGTGAAATTTTCCCCTGAAACAATTCGTACGAGTTGATGTTCTGATTAACATTATCAGTCTCATATTTAAATTTGATTAGCTCCTTCTCCCCAAACTAAAATCAAAGAGATCAGTATCTGGTACTGGATTTATTATTGATTCTGGATGTTCCATCTCCTCTACTGCTCTACTTTCAGACATTTATTTATGTAGCTAATTCAAATGGTCGCAAAATACGTCTTTACACTACCTAGTTGTTCTTCGTTTACTCTTTATACCTATGGTTTGTTTACTCTTTATACCTATAGTTTTTTTACTCTTTATACCTATGGTTTGTTTACCCTTTATACCTATGGTTTGTTTACCCTTTATACCTATGGTTTGTTTACTCTTTATACCTATGGTTTGTTTACTCTATATACCTATGGTTTGTTTACCCTTTATACCTATGGTTTGTTTACTCTTTATACCTATGGTTTGTTTACTCTATATACCTATGGTTTGTTTACTCTACATACCTATGGTTTGTTTATCTACATACCTATGGTTTGTTTACTCTACATACCTATGGTTTGTTTACTCTATAAACTTATGCTTTGTTTACTCAAATATTTATGCTTTGTTTTTTACTCTATCTACTTGTTTTGTTTTTTTGTTTTTTTTGCACTCCTGATCTGAAGGAAGATGAATTTAGCAGGCGTATACTTCCTGATTTCTTGATTTTCAACAAGTATATAACTCCCCGGATGAGAAGTATCCTAATGGACTGGCTGCTGCAGGTCGCAGTGAGTGTCCACACTTCAGTTATTTACAGCAGATGGATGTAGAGTGGGTCTTATAAAAGACACACACGTGCACAGATTTGATCGGCTGACATTGACAATGTTTAAAGATACAAGAAATTCGTGTCAAATACGTGCTTAGCCAAGGGCACGCTTCTTTACAGTCAGATTTCCTGTCTACATTTCCTGCCTACATTTCCTGCCTACATTTCCTGTCTAGATTTCCTGCCTACATTTCCTGCCTACATTTCCTGCCTACATTTCCTGCCTAAATTTCCTGCCTACATTTCCTGCCTAAATTTCCTGCATACATTTCCTGCCTACATTTCCTGCCTACATTTCCTGCCTAGATTTCCTGCCTAGATTTCCTGCCTAGATTTCCTGTCTACATTTCCTGCCTACATTTCCTGCCTACAGCCTACATTTCCTGCCTACATTTCCTGCCCACATTTCCTGTCTTCATTTCCTGCCTCCTTCTCCTGCCTATATTTCCTTCCTGCCTACATTTCCTGCCTAGATTTCCTGCCTAGATTTCCTGCCTAGATTTCCTGTCTACATTTCCTGCCTACATTTCCTGCCTACAGTTCCTATTTCCTGCCTATGTTTCCTGTCTCCATTTCCTGCCTACCTTTCCTGCCTACATTTCCTGCCTACATTTCCTGCCTACATTTCCTGCCTACATTTCCTGCCTAGATTTCCTGCCTAGATTTCCTGCCTAGATTTCCTGTCTACATTTCCTGCCTACATTTCCTGCCTACATTTCCTGCCTACATTTCCTGCCTACATTTCCTGCCTACATTTCCTGCCTACTTTTCCTGCCTACATTTCCTGTCTACATTTCCTGTGATATGTAGTGTCCCAGAGAACTGAAAGAGAAAGATGGTCATCATCTTGTCTTACTGATACTGTATTGTATACTTTAGCTGCCCTTTGCATAACTTTACTGTATCTTACTTCACATTACTTAACCTTGCCTTTCCTCATCTTATCTAACTTAAGCTTATCGTAACTTTCTTTAACTTAAATATCCTTGACTTACCTTACTTAATCTTTCTTTACATTACCTAATCTAACCTTACTTAGTTTAGCCTTGCCGAGTCGCACCGCATGTTACCTTACCTTATCCCTCTGTCACGTCTTCCCATGCAGCACCACGAAGAGCTTACCGATGAGAGTCTGCAGCTCTGCGTCGACACCGTCGACAGGTACCTTCACATTGACGAGATCCCCCGGTCTCACCTGCAGCTGGTTGGAGTGACGGCGCTGCTGCTAGCCGCCAAGTACACTGAGCGCTTCGCACCAGAGGTCTGTCGAAAAATGCTACTGACTTTGACAAAATCATTTCCGCGACTCCTGATTAGTGACCCCGTGACTCCTGATAAGTGACGCCGACATTGAGTAGATCGGTGTGCAATAGTGCGTTCATGCACAGCAACACAAGAAAGACCAGATTAATACCCCCTTCCCCCTCCCCAATGACTATTCATAACATTTCACTACTCTCACCCCACTCTCACCCACTCTCACCCACTCTCACCCACTCTCACCCCACTCTCACAATCTTGACCCTACTTTTAAAGTCTTCACTTTACACTCACCACCCTCTCTCTTCACCCCCACTCTCTTCACCCCCACTCTCTTCACCCCCACTCTCTTCACCCCCACTCTCTTTCTCACCCCCCTCTCACCCACTCTCACCCACTCTCACCCACTCTCACCCCACTCTCACAATCTTGACCCTACTTTTCCAGTCTTCACTTTACACTCACCACCCTCTCTCTTCACCCCCACTCTCTTCACCCCCACTCTCTTCACCCCCACTCTCTTCACCCCCACTCTCTTCACCCCCACTCTCTTCACCCCACTCTCTTCACCCCCACTCTCTTCACCCCACTCTGTTCACCCCAACTCTTTTCATCCTCACTCATCCTATTCTCACTCCCCTCACCCTAATCTCACAATCTTCACACAAACCTCACACTACCCTCACAACCCCCTCACGCTCCTCACCCTACCCTCAACTTCTTTACAATCCTGATTACTAGCATCCTACTAGCATCATGTTATCATCCTCACACTAGCCTTCCACTACCATCTCACTTTCTTACACTACCCTCACACTAACCTCATACTACTCTCACACTACTCTCACACTACCCTCACACTACCCTCACACTACCCGCACACTACCCTCACACTACTCTCACACTACCTTCACACTACCCTCACACTACCCTCACACTGCCCTCACACTGCCCTCACACTGCCCTCACACTGCCCTCACACTACCCTCACACTACCCTCACACTACCCTCACAGTACCCTCACACTACCTTCACACTACCCTAACATTCCTCAACATACAAATTTATTTAAATTTAAGCGAAGGTACGAGTGTATTGGAAAAATAATTGGTTATTCCTTCCATTGTTTCCGTTTGAAAAAGACTTCGATTCGAACTATCTTTCGTAGTATCTAACAAATGGATTTTGTGCTAATTGCCGGCTGCCACCATCTACTAGACATAATTGTCGTCTGCTGCAGTCAAGAAAGTTAACTCCGCTTGTCCTATTTTTTCGGAACCACATCACTTCACTACTCCCCTCACTTCATAGGCTCCCTGTACAAGCACGGATTGACTAAAACTCTGTTCCCTGCCACAACTTTTTCTCGGATGCCTGCCCTTCTTATCTAATCGAACTTCTTTCTGTCTATTGACCCCTCGACAGCTTCGTTCCTCCGCAGACCCGCGTATTCTTTCGGTTCCCAGACACGCCCTAAAACATACGGTGAACGATCTTTCTCTTTGTGCGCCCCAGAACAATGGAATTCTCTCCCACTACACTTCCGCAACATGCCGACCATCCAGGCCTCCAAAACTGCACACCAGACAATCTTCAAACTCTACTATCCTGACTGATTCCCAACAACCCCCCCCCCTCTGACCAACTAAACGATGCTTTAGGGTACCGTCCATGGCCTGACATATCTAGAGTTCTGGGGTGGGCAGAGTAAATATTTTTTTTTATAAAGCTGTTTTAATGAAATAAATGTATATAAACTTTTTAATGTCATGATTATGTTTGCTGATATGTGTATGTACAGTGCGGTGAGCTCAGCCTCAGCCCTAGGCTGTGGTACCGCGCTATAGGAGACCACTGTAACAGTGATGATAATATTTGTATGTCCAGTGCGGTGAGCCCAACCTCAGCCCTAGGCTGTGGTACCGCGCTATAGGAGACCACTGTAACAGTGATGATAATATTTGTATGTGCAGTGCGGTGAGCCCAACCTCAACCCTAGGCTGTGGTACCGCGCTATAGGAGACCACTGTAATAGTGATGATAATATTTGTATATGCAGTGCGGTGAGCCCAACCTCAGCCCTAGGCTTTGGTACCGCGCTATAGGAGACCACTGTAATAGTGATGATGATAAAAATATTTCCAGATCTCAACCCTCTGTTACCTCACCGACAACACGTTTCAAAGACAGCAGATCCTCCGCTGTGAGCGGCAGATGCTTAAAGCTTTGGATTTCTTCATGGGTCGACCCGTGATGGTTCAGTTTTTGGACAGGTTTCTACAAGTACACAAGAATCCACCGGAGGTATGTCGTATGTGGCGTCACTAACCAGGGGCAGGGGCCGTGGGTGGGCAGAAGTTTTAATTTTTGCTTTTTTTAAATATATTGAGGGACTGCAATGTCTGCCAAGAGTAATGCAACTGTATGCCAAGTGTCACGTCTTAGTCTGCCAAGTGAAATGTCTTTGTCTGCCAAGTGAAACGGCATTGTCTGCCAAGGGCAACGTCATTGTCTGCCAAGGACAACGTCATTGTCTGCCAAATTTAACGTCATTGTCTGCCAAGCTTTAATTTTATTTTTCCATGAATTACTACTTAAGATTATGAGCTTTAGAAGTTATAAAAATGTGTATTTTGACATAGAGACCTTACCTAGCCTTACGTAGTCAGACATAGAGACCTTACGTAGCCGGACATAGAGACCTGTGGGATGTTTATTAATCATACACCTGGGACTCTAATGACGTAGATACGACTAGATATATATACCTTTAATTGGAATAGGCAACGTCCCGCACAATATTAAATATGGCTTTGATTGAGCTTGGCTTAAAATTTCATCCCATGTACACTCGCTATTAAAATTTTCAAACCTATGCAGATCAACTAAATCTGTGTTTCTCTTCAGGTGGAGTGCCTGGCCCGGTACATATGCGACTTGTCCATCACGAGCTACAAGCTGTCCAGCAATTCTCCGTCCTACAAGGCCGCCGGCGCGCTGGCCCTGGCTCGCAGACTTCTGCTGGACGAGGACGAGCCCACGTGGTCAGAGGACCTCACTTTCTACACCAGCTATAACCTTGAATACTTGTCGGACATCTGCATCGATCTGGTTTATATACTCATCAAAGCCCCGACATCCAAGTTTCAGGTCAGAGTTCATTTGTGCCAACTCTTTAGTTTTGTAGTAACTCAGTGTAGCAGTCGCAAGATTAATCTGCAAGCCGCGCGTCTGTCAGTTGGTCAGGAAATATTGCTTCATTTAGTTGTTTCATACTTCGATGGGCTAGACCAGTGGTTGGCAAATCGTCTGAGTGTGGCTCGGCCAGTCGGCCACAGATCGGTTTTGACTCCGAAAAACATGTTTCTTGACAGGCACTTGAAAAGAAATAATGCTCTCAAAAATTTTGTATCATCCTGCTGCTGATTTTGTTTAAGTTTTTTTGACTGAGTTTGCCGACAACTGGGCTATACCATAACAGGGGCCCAACCTGCCGGCATTGCAGCCTGGTCCCAGAAACTCTAGCGCATCTGTTGACCGAATGACAAACACTAGATGTTTCAGGGGGAGGGAGGAGCAGGGCGGCGTGAGAGCCCTACTTGAAGACAATATTATATGTCACAGCTCAGCTGATGGGGCTGATTGCCAATGTACCAGCCGGCACAGCTCAGCTGATGGAGTTGATTGCCAATGTACCAGCCGGCACAGCTCAGCTGATGGAGTTGATTGCCAATGTATTAGCCGGCACAGCTCATCTGATGGGACTGATTGCCAATGTACCAGCCGGCACAGCTCAGCTGATGGGACTGATTGCCAATGTACCAGCCGGCACAGCTCAGCTGATGGAGTTGATTGCCAATGTACCAGCCGGCACAGCTCAGCTGATGGAGTTGATTGTCAATGTACCAGCCTGGGTTGTAATAGCGTAATCTCAGGCCCTCAACGGAATAGTTGCGTTAGGCAGTTGTTTCATTTTTCAGCAAAACAGTACAATATTCAAGATCTATTTCAACTTTATACAGTTCCATAAAATTTCCTGAGTATAGTCTTCTTTTATATCGTTTTTTTTTAAAATGAAAAAAATGGGTTAAGGGATGGGGTCGTCAAGATTTAGTTGAGTCAAGATACACACCTGGTGACACCATACGGTAGTAGAGTCAAGGTACACACCTGGTGACACCATACGGTAGTTGAGTCAAGGTACACACGTGGTGACACCATACGGTAGTAGAGTGAAGGTACACACCTGGTGACACCATACGGTAGTAGATTCAAGGTACACACCTGGTGACACCATATGGTAGTAGAGTCAAGGTACACACCTGGTGACACCATACGGTAGTAGAGTCAAGGTACACACCTGTGACACCATAGGGTAGTAGAGTCAAGGTACACACCTGGTGACACCATACGGTAGTAGAGTCAAGGTACACACCTGTGACACCATAGGGTAGTAGAGTCAAGGTACACACCTGTGATACCATACGGTAGTAGAGTCAAGGTACACACCTGTGACACCATACGGTAGGAGAGTCAAGGTACACGCCTGGTGACACAATACGGTTGTAGAGTCAAGGTACACACCTGGTGAGACCATACGGTAGTAGAGTCAAGGTACACACCTGTGACACCATAAGGTAGTAGAGTCAAATTACACACCTGTGACACCATACGGTTGTAGAGTCAAGGTACACACCTGGTGACACCATACGGTTGTAGAGTCAAGGTACACACCTGTGATACCATACGGTAGTAGAGTCAAGGTACACACCTGGTGACACCATATGGTAGTAGAGTCAAGGTACACACCTGTGACACCATACGGTTGTAGAGTCAAGGTACACACCTGGTGACACCATACGGTAATAGAGTCAAGGTACACACCTGTGACACCATACAGCAGTTTGTTCAATGTGCGCCACTGTTGCACCATAGGGTAGGTGAGTCGAGGTACACACCTGTGACACCATACAGCAGTTTGTTCAATGTGTGCCACTGATACATCATAGGGTAGATGAGTCGAGGTACACATCTGTTACACCATACGGTAGTAGAGTCAAGGTACACCCCTGTGACACCATAGGGTAGTAGAGTCAAGGTACACACCTGTGACACCATAGGGTAGTAGAGTCAAGGTACACACCTGTGACACCATAGGGTAGTAGAGTCAAGGTACACACCTGTGACACCATACGGTATTAGAGTCAAGGTACACAACTGTGACACCATACAGCAGTTTGTTCAATGTGTGCCACTGTTACACCATAGGGTAGGTGAGTCGAGGTACACACGTGTGACACCATAGGGTAGGTGAGTCGAGGTACACACCTGTGACACCATACGGTTGTAGAGTCAAGGTACACACCTGGTGACACCATACGGTTGTAGAGTCAAGGTACACACCTGTGACACCATACGGTAGTAGAGTTAAGGTACACAACTGTGACACCATACGGTAGTAGAATTAAGGTAAACAACTGTGACACCATACAGCAGTTTGTTAAATGTGCGCCACGTTTACACCATAGGGTAGGTGAGTCGAGGTACACACCTGAGACACCACACGGTAGGTGAGTCGAGGTACACGCCTGTGACACCATACGGTAGTAGAGTCAAGGTACACACCTGTGACACCATGCGGTAGTAGAGTCAAGGTACACACCTGTGACACCATACGGTAGTAGAGTCAAGGTACACAAATGTGACACCATACGGTAGTAGAGTCAAGGTACACACCTGGTGACACCATACGGTTGTAGAGTCAAGGTACACACCTGTGACACCATACAGCAGTTTGTTCAATGTGCGCCACTGTTACACCATAGGGTAGGTGAGTCGAGGTACACACCTGTGACACCATACGGTAGTAGAGTCAAGGTACACACCTGTGACACCATACGGTAGTAGAGTCAAGGTACACAACTGTGACACCATAACAGCAGTTTGTTTAATGTGCGCCACTGTTATACCATAGGGTAGGTGAGTCGAGGTACATCATCTGTGACACCCTAAGGTGGTTCGGTCAATTCACATTACCTTGAAGTAATTGGGTCACATTGAATTGGCTGCCATTCTGTCTTGATTAAAGAGAGACTTAGAGTTGCATGTGCTGGTGATCTGCTTACAGGGAGCCGTGCTCAAGTACAACACCCAGGAGAAGTGTTTTATCAGCAAGAGTGAACGACTGGCAGCAGCCCTGGAGGCGCTACAGCAGACGGGAGAACTTCCCGCTTCACAAAAAGTAGGAATGTCTAACATTTTTTTAAAAAATAATAATAAGAGTAGGATTGTCTCTCTTGCTCATGCAGTAAGGCTTGTCTTATCTTGTCAATACAGTAGGATTGTGTTATCATGCGACTATAGTATGATTGTTTTATCGTGTTACTATAATCGGATTGTCTTTTCGGGCTACTATAGTAGGATTGTCTTATCTTGCTACTATAGTAGAATTGTCTTATCGTGCAAATATAGGATTTGATATCGTATATATATATATAAACTCCAAAAGAGAGCAGTAATATTTTCTTTCAGTTTTATAAAGAAGCATTGATTTCAAGTAATTAGTGCTGCAAAAACACTATAGCTTTAGTGTCGTTTTAAAATGGTACCACTGGTCAGTTCCATGCCTCTGAGAGCATATAGTAAAATACTGTCTCAAGTAAAACTCAGTTTCTTTTGTAAGGCAGGACTATTTTTTAATAAGATGAGTTCATAATTTCGTACGAAATTCTGTGTGTAACCATTTTGGATAGATTTTCACACGAAAGTTAATAAAATTATTTCTGTTGTGTTTGGAAACGTTAAACAAGAAGCACGCCCAGTGTTAATGCTTTAAAAAGAAAGATCTGATTGTAACGTACCGATGTATCCTTAAATAAGTTTGATCTTCTTCAAGGTTTGGATAATCAGATGAATAATACCGAACAAATGACTGAAACCTGGTATACTAAATAAAAAAAAATGATACCAAATCTTGTGACATTAACTGTCAATTTATTTATTCTAAGAATTCTGAAAATGTTCACAAACTCACGGTGAAAATATGTTAAGTCTTGCAATCTCTGTTATCGCTTGTATCTCGATTATCTCTGGTATATCTGGCCATAACTATTCAGCTATAACTCTGCGTTTCAACTCCGCGTTGAAACGAAATTGAGGTCATCAAGGTCCACATGCGTTGCTGGGCTACAACAGCATAAATGTCTTTTTAAAATCGCTTCAAAACTACACCTGTATTACTAGGCTGTTAGAGACTGACGTAACTGAAGAAAAAAAAAAAACTTTAATATAAGTAAGACTAATTTGTCATTTTCACTTATACTTTTAAGGCAAGTTTAAATTCAATGGGACGAAGTGAGCGATATGTTATCTTAAACAAATTAGTTATTGTGGTGAAGACATTATATAAGGGCTCAACATTAAGGGGAAAAAACTTGTCTGCAACACAAAGTTACAAAGACATAAAAAAAGGAGAAGAGTTGCATCCCTCTAACATTAATCATTTTAAATCGTAAAACTACAAACAAACACACACACACACATACACACACATGCATATATTTATACTTAAAAGTGTTTTTGTATTATTTGATTTTTTTTTTTTTTTACATTTTGCAATGGTATAAAGTATTTACAAATCATTTTTGTTTATATATACATAAGACATTCTGAAAAGTCCTATTTTTTCCTCTTGACATGTTGCAATCAGCCCCCCGATGAGAGCATTGATGGGCGTGACGTTGGCCGTGGTTTCAAGGATCCCAGCAACCGACCCAAGAAGAAAAAGCCAGCCAAATAATTGGAATAATTTTGTTCTTGGATTTTCTTTTTATTGTGTACTTTAAATTTACGTTCACCTTATTTAAGATCTAAAGGTGACACCTTTTTGGTTCAAGATAGTTGGAATAGATTGTGTCTCACTAAATTTTGTTAAACGAAATTTCTAATGAATAGTGTTAAAAAATTAATCATCTTATTCTTTATATTCTAAAATAAAGTTGTTGGTTTTTTTCTAAATTTGGACACCCCCCCCCCCACCTCTCTCAAAATCCCCCTTAATTATTTGGGCGTAGGGTTTAAATCTGTCAAATGACTAGGTCACTAAGGACGTAAATTAACTCCCTTTTTTAACGTTTCATTTTGGA